TTCCTTCCTTCCTTCCTTCCTTTCTTCCTTCCTTCCTTCTATCTTTGTCTTTTTTATGATCCATTTTATGTGTGTGAGTGTTTTGCCTGCACGTGTGAACATTAATTATGTCTAGTGCCCTAAGAGACCAGAAGAGGGCATCAGACTCTGGAACTGGGACTACAGAAGACCGAGCTGTGGTGTGGGTGCCGGAACCAAACACAGGTTCAGAGCATCTGCTCCTAATGGCTGAGCCAACTACTCTCCAGCCCTGATGTACTTGGCTTTTTCTTCTACTTTTTTTTCTGTTTTATTTTTGCTTTTAGGTAGGTGCGAGGGGTGGAGCTTGAGGCCTTGAGCCTGCAAAGCAAGCACTTACCCAATAAGTCATCTCCGTAGCTCTGAAGTATGAGGGGGCAGGGAGGGAGTTAATGGATGCAAGAACACGTGCCGTGGAAGATTTATGAAGGTCAGAGGGCTATGTGAGGTGTCAGTCCTTGCCCTCCACCTTATTTGAAACAGTCTTTCTGTTGTCTACCACTGTGTATCTTGGCATAGCTGAGCTTTCCCTTCGGTTGCTGTCTCGCATCTCTTCCCGGGGACACTGAGGTTACATGTGTGCAGTACAGTGCCCAACTTTATGTGAGTTCTGAGGAGTCAAACTCAGACTTGAACAGCAAGTGCTCCGCCAGCTGACCTATCTCCCCAGCCCAAGTCTTACATGTTATAGCAAAGTCAAGGGCTGCAAATCTAGATTTGTAGTATTTATACATCCACGTATGTCTATTCGTGTGTGTGTGTGTGTGTGTGTGTGTATGTGCGTTTATGTCCTCCTTTTTGCTGTCTGCCTTGTGTTGGTGTTCTCACTGGAGGAGGAAAAAGAGGAGGAAAACACAGTTTTCTGAGGAAAATGTGTTTATTCTGCTCTGGAGCTTATTCAGATTTTGACAAGCTGTAGAAAACTAGGTTTGATATCATTCAATTTTGAATGTGTAGCCATTTCTCTGTAATCTTTCTGAATTGGTGTTGCCACTGAGGCATTTAGTGTCCTCCTGTGTAAGTGCCAGCTCTCCTGGGAAGTCCCCTTTGCTGCTCTAACACTCTCCATTTCTCTTACAGCTTTTTGGAGTTCACTGCTAGTTAGATGGTCCTGGAAGAATGCCCCACTTTCTCTGAGGTCACCCTTCACTCTGTCATTTTGCTGTGCTTTCCAGAAAAGTTCCTTCTATTTTCCAGTCTTCTACTGATTTTGCTGTGGCAGGCATACTTTAAATTTCAACGTCCCTTTCTGTTCTTTGGTGTCCTTTCTTTGGTTCTTGAACTGCGGTAGCCTTGATTTTTCAGTTTCAGTATTTTGCAAGTTATGGGTTGTTCCTCTTTGATGGCTCTCCACACATTTTTTTTTCCCTTTCTGGAGGCTTTGCTCAAATGTCCTGGTCAGTCCTTGGCATCTATATCAGTATATGTGGCCAAGTGGAACAAAACATCACAGAGTGGCTGGCTAACACTAGGAATTTATTTTCTCACAGCTACAAGTACAAGGTCAAGGTGTTGACAGGGTGGCTTCCACTTAAAGCCTCTTTCCTTGAGTCACCTATGGTCTATTTTCATAAACCATCATGTGTCCTTTTTCTCTGTGCATTGATCCTGACTCTCTCATAAGAGGCCAGCTCTACAGGATCAGGCTTAACCTCAGCTCAGTTAACCTTTGTCACCTCCCTAAAGGCTCACTCACAAATATGATTATGTCAGTGGTTGATGCTTTGGACATAATTCTGGAGAGTCATGATTTAATCCATATCAGCACTAAACTAAACCATTCCAACTAAAAGGCAGGACAAACAAACTACAGTCTGAGCGTCGGAGCAGCTTTGGCCATGAGGCCATCTTCAAGGTATCTGCAGAGAAACTAGCTTTTGTGGGAAGCTCTAGAATAGCAGTTCTCAATCTTATCCTGACTGAGCTTTTCTGGGCTCTGGGAGTGAAGAGAGCCACTCTTCAGATTATACGTGTGGCCTTGCCAAGTCCTGGCTCTCTCTCGGCCCTCAGCCAGTTTCTGCTTCATGATCCTTTCACTTCCCACTCAGGCTGTGACTGCCTCTCTCCTAAATTGTGACACATGGCCATTAACTTTGTCTTGAAAGTATGTGTGAAAATCTCATGTACCTTGGCTGTGGATGTGGCTGGTTAGTATTTTTCTAGCATACACAAACCCCTGGGTTTGGCCCCCAGTACCTCCCCAAATCAGGCATAGTAACCTATACCCGTAATTTCAGCACTCAGGAGATAGAGGCAGAAAAATTATAAGCTCAAAGTCATCCATGGCTAGTAAGTTAGTTTGAGGTCAACCTAGCCTACAGGAGACCTTGTCTTAAAAAACAAAGCACAAACTCACTTGCATTCACCGCCCCCAGTCTGCTTCCACAAGAATGTTTCACTTTGTTTTTGTTTACAGTTGAGTCAAAGCAAGGATACAAATACATGCATGCATTCTCCGCCTTTGAGAGAAATCTCTCAATGTCCCGTATCACAACTGCTCTGTGTGCATCAGCAGACTCTGCTAATCTGAGTATTTTCACCACACATGCTGCAGAGCTTTTCAGGAGCCAGCACTAAGAATTCAGCAGGCTCTGCCTTTTCTTCCTGGCAGCTTGAGCTGCTGGACACTCTGCACATCATTTGCTCAGAGGTTTCGCCACACATCTGCCACAGGTGAGCGTCCACCGTAATCAGGAGCACTAAATATCATGTTCTGCAAATTACACTATGCTCTGCTTGCTTCTCTCTGTGTGCATGTGTGTGTGTGTGTGTGCATGTGCATCTGTGTGTGTGTACCCATGTGGGAGGTGTGCATGCACATGAGTACATGTGTGTTGAGGACTGAGGTGAATACCGAATATCTTGCCTTGATTTATCCTTTGAGACAGGGTCTCTCACAAGATCTAAAGGTGAGTAATTGTTCTAGGCTAGCTGGCCAGTGAGCTTCAGGGATCTGTCCCCTGCCTTCCTTAGTCAAATGCTACCCTGTCTGACTTTTTATGTGAATTCTTAGAATTCAAACTCAGGTCTTCCTGAAGCCAGGTTCCTGGCCTCCTCTTCTTGCTTCCTGCTCACTCATCATTATGGTTTTAAAACCTGCTGCTGTCAGCTCCAGCTGATTAATTTCACCACTGAAATGACAGCCACACTTTAGTAATCCTGCTGAGAAAAGCTTTGGTTGTATCTGACTATGAATGCCAAAGTCACTTTGGAGATGTTTGTACGTGTGTATGTGTGTGTATGTGTGTGTGTGTGCGCGCGCGCGTGCGCGCGCGCGTGTTAGGGTAGACACTGTGTAACAGCCAGAGCTGCCCCATGTTCGGGGGCCACTTTGTAACGTCCTGTTCTGCTGCTCCGGTCCGTGGGTCAGAGTCTAGCAAGAGAGAGAGTGGGGACAGAGACACGAAGAATGGAGACAAGACAGGGAGTCTGATCAAGTCTCTTTTATTGAAAGGAAATACTGGGTATTTATACCCTTTATCACGTGACTTGCCCTTGTGGACAAGCTCAACTGAAGGCACTAGGTCACGTGTCTTGTAGCCATGGATACCAGTGTACCTTGTAGCTGGGGGCACTAAACAATGTAACAAGATGTTTGAGTGTGCTCAGCTGTTGCTGGCTGTTGAAAACAAGTCTCTTGTCAGGGTATATGGCTCGAGATGGCTGTAAAGATGATAGCTGCTTTCAGCTAAGAGTTGGCTCCCAACAACACTCCTATTCAGCCTTCACGTCTTAGAACTCAAACCACTGAGTCCATTCACTGTCCCCTCAGCAGTGGGACATGGTGGTCCCTCCTCACTCATCTCTTCAGCATGATGGTGCATGCTTTTTCATTTCAGTCTGACTTGTGTCTGGTCAGGGTTGAGAGGTCTATACTCTCTCCAAGTAGGTTGGGCGTGGATAAGAGATGACAGTGCTCGGTTGTGTTATCTCCCCCCTCTCCTTGAGCTGTTTGCTCAAGGGATAGGGCAAGGACTTTAAATGATGCTGCCTGTTTCCTACTAACCTAGCCGGATGTTGATCTTATATATGTGCAAAGAATTTTTGTGACAGAAAAAGAGATAACTTTTTTTTTGTATTCAAAAGTATCAAAATGATTGTTTTTGAAACACTGAAAACAGAATTTAATCCAAGTGGAAAATTAAAAAAAAAAAAAAGGATTGTCTAATTCAGCTCTCTTACAATGATCTTGCCTAGGAAATTGGAATTTAAAGATGTGAAATCCACCATGAAAAATATCCTAATTCAGTGTTTATTCTGTGGCATCCTGGCCACCGGGCTCTGGACAACTACATTACTTTTACTTGTGCACCTTGAACAAGAGGACACACTGGAAAAGGAAACGGAGGGACACAATAGGCCACCCATAACACATGTATACCAGCAAACCCACGACTCGGACCGCACTATTAATGGTAAGTCTGATGCAGATGAACCTGGAGAATCGGAATTATATCCAGGGACAAATCGTGATGTTTCTGTTAATGTTTCAACGAGAAACATCAGAAATTCAGTATTTAGAAGAATAAGAGAATGATCTCCTTCAGGTAATTTAACTTTCAAACTATAAAATACCTCATATATGGGTATATTATATCCATAACTCAATAGGGTATATGCATATGTGTTTACCACCTATATTTCTTATTTTTATGTAGTTTGTTGTATTTGCTTCAGGCAGCTTTCTATCTTCCATAAAAATGAATTTCAACAGGTGCAATAGAAATATAATCCCTGGTCCTTTTCCACCTACCAACCTCAATGATAGCATCCTGTGCCCGCAATCGTTCAGCAGTTCTGGCATGGCACAGTTTAACCTATCTGTAGGTAGTCTGTGTCAATATCCTCTTGGGATTTGCTCTCCCCCACAAATACTGTTATAAGATTTGTGCTCCATGCTTACACAGGATGACCTGGTCTAACAAAATACGCCCCCAGAGATGAAGAGAACGGTAAAGATATAATTAAAAAGCTTAAAAATCAGATCTGTGTTCTGGGCTCTGTGCTGCTCTGGAGCAGTGCTGACAGCTTGTGTAGAAGTAAGACACCGCCGAGTGGCCCCTCTACAGCATCTTACCCTGCTCATTCGCATGCTCTCCCTGTCCCCTGGTTTCTCTCTTCTCCTCCCGTAACTCCCATAATACATAGTTAGCTGAGAATCCTGTCCTTTCTAGTACATCCCTCTGTGGTTCATTTCACACCAATCCAATTGATTTGACCTCAAGTCCACACAAGCTCTGTCCTCTGTGTAGTTCAACTGGTACTTAATAGTGACCTTAACTCTACTTAGGGCAATTGGTTAGCCTGTAACTTCCTTTTGGTTATTTTTGTAACTTCTGTCCCTCAGCTGAGCTCTCCCTTTTCTATCTGCTTCTGGTGCTGCTGTGGTGGTCACTTTAACATCCTAGTGAGTTTGGTCCCAACTGGTTCAACTCAATGTTGGCATCTGTTGGCTATCCTTTTAAATTCCTTTTGGGATGCTTCTGGTTCTTGGGATTGCCATTTTCTATTGCATCCTGGACATTAAGGACACTGAGAGGTATCGTAGCATGATTCCAAGCAGGTCCCCTTCACTACGGTGTAATACAAGTATAAGAAAAGACAGATTACAGTATCTGTTGTTCAAAAAAAGCCAGTGAGCAAAGGCAAAATTTGAATCTTAAAACTTCACTTTGTTCAGAAACCAGTGATCTGAGAGGGGAGAGGATTAATAGTTTAAAGGTTTGTCTTCCATTACATCCCCAGGCCATGGATTATGTGGGGGATAGGGACAGAGGCTGTCAGCTATTCCAGTGATCCGAGAGGGCAGAGGATTACTAGTCTAAAGGTCTGTCTTCCATTACATCTCCAGCTCACAGATCATGTGGGGGAGGAGGGACAGAAGCTGTCGGTTATTTGGAATACAGTCTTGGCATTCTGGTTGAGGTGGTTGACCGACCACATTTTTGAGATTTTATGTCTGTTTCTCATTGTCTCCTCTTATATAACCCCTCCCACTGCATGTGCACGTGTGAATTCTGTGGATGCCTGGGTTTGAGTAAACAATGGATGTAGTTAGTTGGTGCTGGTATCAATCTTATACTCCTCCAAGAGCATTTGGGCAAGCACAGAATTACCTCAGAGCAAAAAGACCATAAATGGTATGTTTGTGCTAAGCTAGTTTTTCTCTTCAGCAAAATTAAGTACAAGTGTGGCATACAGAATGGAATTCAAGATGTTCCTATTGGTCCCCTCTGACCTCTATTAGAAGGAACAGGTAAGTGTGTGTGTTCTGCCCACTCCATGAAAGAAGCCCCTCCCTGCCCCACCTCCTACAGTGGTATGTGCATACTATCTTGTAGTAGACACATGGCATAAGAAATCAGCTCCATTGAGAGTTTGTTGGGAGGTTCTAACAGGGGAGTGTATCTACTCATGTACCCTTGACCGAAGACCAGTCCTCCTCTATTCAGGGAAAGTCATAGCTTCCAGAAGGATACACATGGAAGGGTGAGGGAGGCAGGTTAGCCAGATCAGGTGAATCAACCCTGGAGATCAGTAGGGTGACAGTTGTTGTAGCCAGATCTCCCTCATATCCAGTCATGAGAGTGGGAGAGCTAGTCCTGCCCCTCGCCAGCAGCAGCACTTGGAAGAGCAGGCTCCATGCCTCACTGGGCAGCACAGTAAAGCTGGCCTTGGTGACTCTGAGGGCATGAGGGTGGGAGAGCTGCCTGCCCCTTGCCAATCGTAGCTTTGGGTGAGCTAGCCTGGATGATGCTGGAGAGATTGCCCTGGTGGTGTGGGTGCGGGAGAGCTGGTGGGCTAACCAACTCAGCTACCACTCGTGCTCACAGTGAGATCCAGGGCTTTGAGTTGGCTCAACCCAACATCTACTCCGTCCCTGATCTGCTGGAGTGGTAACATGGCTAACCCTGAAGATCCAAAGCTACAGGATCTCCATGACACGGGATAACAACTGGGTATCCCAGAGGAGTCCTGGTGAAGACCCAGTATTGATAGCATAGCAGAAGCCAAAGGCCTTGAACCAGACCAGTGACTGACTCACTGCATTGAACATTTGCAAGTAAAGAAACATGGACAAAGGGTATACTATGGGACACACGGTGACACACTACAGCTTCCACAACAAGGTTTTTGTTTTCTTTGGTGGGAGATGTTGCCATCGACAGGAAGACGAGAGTGATTGAGGTGCATGATGTGAAATTCAGAAAGAATCAATAAAAGTTTAAAAAAAAAAAGAATTCAGCTCCTTTTTAGTTCCCATTTAAATGGAGCACAGACTTTAAAAAGCTTGTCACTAGGCACAGTGTCAGCTCGTCCTGTCTCTCCTCTCCTCCTGGGCCCCTTTGACATGGGTTGAAAGGCTCAACTGTCCACTGGTCTTCACTAGCACCAGGTTCAGAGAGAAATAAAATATCAGCTAATTATGGTTCACTGCCGTGTGTGAGCCATTGCTGTGAAAGTGGCCATGGCTCCCACTGGACGCCATGCGAGGCAAGGGGAAGTGGACGTCTCTCTGTCTCCACCCTGACCATCTTGCTGTCCTGGGAGGGGGGCGGGAATTGGAGGCTCAACATTCTACTGACAGCAGACAGTTCTACATCAGACAGACTCACTTTCACCTGCTTCCACAAGACAAGGTTAGAACTCCTCCCTGACCAGTCTCCCTACACTACCCAGGAGAGGGAGCAGAGCCCTCATTGCCTGCTGCTGACTTTGGAATATTAGGCTCTGCTCGGTCCCACTGATACCACCAGGTATCAAGTGGGATGCTGCTGTTTGCTTCCTTGGTGGGGGCGGGAGTATAAGACTTGGGGCAAGGATTGCAAAGGTTTGTTCTGCTTTGTCATTAGACTACCTTTCCCCAGCTCTTTCTTGGGCTAGGGAGAATGGTTTTGTTATCATGGAGGTTTCCTGATGGTGGTTTATCTGTGACTACTTATGTTTCAGTCAGAGCCCTCTGTAGCTCCTGTGTGGTATTTATGTATATATTGTATGTATGTGTGTATATAATATATATATGTGTGTGTGTGTGTATATATATATATATATATTTACAGTTATATATATAGTTATAAGTGTGTATGTGTGATACTATTTCCTGGACTGCATAAGAAGGAGGAAACAAGCGAGTTGAGCGAGCACTTTGCTCTTTACTTGCTGACTGAAGATACAAAGTATCAATGATCTTTAGGCACTTGCCACAGTGCCTTCCCTTTATAATGGCCTTCTAGAACCGTGGATAAGAACCCTCATTACTTAGGTTGCTTTTGTGGGAGTGTTTAGCACACCAGCAGGCTAAGTAACTAATGCAGGGCTTGGTGTTTTTGTTTCATCTAAAATTAATGATGAGACTTTACCAGAGAGTCTTTGGTTTATGTCAATGATTTGGGCTTTCACCTTTAACTTTGTCATCTGGGCTTAGTTTAGAGGCCAAGAAAATTATTTTCAGAAAAATTCGGGATATGGTTACTCTTGTAACCACTAAGTCTTATGTGACTCAGATGTCCTTTTCTTTCAGACAACGTTAACTTTTCAGATCCAGAATTGATCCAAGGATTGCATCAATATGGATTAAACGTCATTATTAGTAGAAGACTGGGCATCCAGAGAGAGGTGCCAGATTCCAGGGATAAAATGTATGTTCTCCCACTAATCAGACTTTAATCTTAGCATATGAGAGATCCTGTAGTATATAGATCCCCTTCTTAAGTCTTTAAGTTGGGCAATGTCAAGATTCTGATGATGGTGTAAAGGCCACCTTACTTATCAGCCGAATATGTTCTTGAAGTTTTGAGGAGCTAAATAAATCCCTTGGGGGTTTCTACCTTGGTTCTGTCCAAAGCGTTAATTCCCAACAGACAGTGCTTTTGGGGATCTACTTAATTTTTTTCTTCTGTCTGCTCTGTTTTCCTTGTGCCTTCAGTTATCTGTGTTAATGGTAATTGAGGTAAAATGCACGTAAAATTGCTATGTTATCAATTTCCTAGCAGACAATTAAGCACAGCCGCAATGGTGAACAACCCCAGCACTGCTGAACTGAAGCTTTACACCCTCCTTTCCCACAGCCCTAGCAACCCCCAATCCACACTCAGCGTCTGTGAATTTGACTACCCCAGAGATCTCAGATTAGCAAGAGCATACAAAAAATTTGAGGACTGGCTTATTTCACTTAGCACAGTGTCCTTGAGGTTCATCTGTTCAGATTATGCTTGTTGATGCCTTTTAAAATATCATTTAGGTTCCAAGATTTTCCTGGAAAAGAATATCAATTTTCATTAGCTAAGAGAAAAATGATCAAGCCAAGGAAAACCTGCACTTTCCAGTAATGCCACATTCCATGGCACTGGAATACTCCCATATTTTGTGATATTGTGAAACACAAACACCATTCATGATTGGGCACACTGGAGAGATAAAGCATCTGCACATAATGAAACACTGTAACGGACTCATAATAAAGGAAAACAAACTTGGACTAGGGATGGAGTTTGATTGAATAGTTGATGATTTCTTTTGTTGCAGAAGGATTTCTATTTGATGCCATCCCACTTGTTTATCTCGTGCTCTTGGATCACATCCACTTGAGTGCACTTGCGGCACCACCCTCCCCCCGTCCTGAAATTATCTGAGAAATATTTCCTGTTTGCATAATTGCAATGAGAATTATGATTTTATGTTTTGACCTCACTTGTCAGGCCTTAATTACCTCCAGAGTGGTCACAGAACCAATATGAGCCAATGAGTTTTTCCCTGGGAATTTCTGTAGATGGGGAAAAAGAACATCCTTCTGATTTATCCCTGGATGCTGAACAGGTGTAGTTTTACACACTTTTAATCTCAGCACTCAGGAAGCAGTAGCAGGCAGATCCCTGTGAGTTCAAGGCCAGCCTGGTCAACAACATAGCAAGTTCCAAGCCATCCTTGGCTACATACTTAGATATGTTTTAAAAACAAAAACAGAATCCCAATGATAGGCTGATAGGAATCACGTTTCCCTCTCTGTGGCATTAGAAAATAGAAACAAGCCAGTTTCTGGTCTTATGCAGAATAGTTACTATATGCCAGGTATTGTTCTGTTCTGAGTGAGTTCACGACCTGGGAGTAGGCTGGAGATGCTGTCAGTAATCATCCCAATTGCTGTTGCCATGGTGACAGAGCAGGCCAGAGGACCTCAGCCCTCTCACTCCATTATTTCCTTGAGATCCCAGCTGTCTTCCTATAACTAGTCGTTGGGGTTACCTGGGTTACCTTACAACATACTCCCTTCTATTTTGCTGAGGTTAGTTCCAAACAATAATATACTAGATCTCAACTTCTGCTTTTCACTCTTGTGAACACAAAAATAATTTGACATTTTGCCAGTACTTAGAGGACTTGTATTAATTCTACTACAATTCTTGGCCAAGCCTCCAAAGCAAAGCAAGAAGTGCAGCATAGTGGATTGACTTTGAAGTTATCTTTCCATGAACTGAGACTACCACTATTCACAACAGACCCCAATATATGGCTATAATCATTGTTTCATGTAATCTCTAAAGTAGACCTAAGATTATGAACATGGAATATCAAGAAAGTAATTATAAAGGGGAAAATAATTCCAAGATGTGAGTATATCATCAGAATTTAAGTGGGTTCATCAAGCTGGGATCTGCACAGCTGATATTGCTCCCCGTGTGAGATTGAAGTCCACATGGTGGAAGGAAAAAGCTGACTCCTGTACTTCCACCCCACACGCCCACCGTACCACAGGCATGTACCCACTTTCCCACACACAAAACAAAATAAATAAAGGTTAAAAAAATTAAAGAATTTAAGGACAGGCTAAAGAGATGCCCAGTCATTAAGAGTGCTTATTGCTTTCAGAGGACCAGAGTTTGATTCCCAGAACCCATGTCAGGCAGCTCACAACTGCCTCTAACTCAGCCCCAGGGCATCTGATGCCCTCTTCTGGCCTCTACAGGTACTCGTACACACCTGTGCACGTGCACATAGATGGCAGACAAATACACATAAATTAAAATAGTTTTTTTTTGACGTAAGAACATTTTGTTTGTTAATTTTGTACTTTCAACTGTCCTGTCATTGTCCTGTCCAAATTAGTTCATCAAAGTAAAGAAAGCAAAAAGTAAGAGCTGGCATTTGAAGAAGGCTCCGATCACTTGAGGCTTCAGATGGCGAATTTTCTCCCTGTCTTTCTTGCAGATGTCAGAGGAAACACTACCCACGCAATCTACCCACTGCCAGCGTCATCATATGTTTCTATAATGAAGAATTTAACACCTTGCTCCGAACAGTGTCGAGTGTGGTGAACCTCAGTCCGCAACATCTGCTGGAGGAGATAATTCTGGTGGACGACAAGAGTGAATATGGTGAACAGACACTGTCTGTCTGTCTGTCTGTCTGTCTGTCTGTCTGTCTGTCAGCAACTCTCTACTGATACTTGACATCTGTTTTTGTTTGGTGTCTGTTCTCATGTAGTCCAGGCTAGCCTCACCTTGAACAACTGACCCTCTTGCCTCCACTGTCAAAGTGCTGGATTCACAAGCATGCTCAGCACGCATGCCTTGGCACTGGTATGTTTTATACAGATGTTTCTGGTGGGTGTTGAGGGGGAGTGCTATCCCTGATGCACTCACTGCATGTGGTAGGTAAGACTGACCCAGACCCTGTCATGATGGGTCTGTGGGGTCAGCATAGGGGGCTGGTCTTGTCTTTAGGGATTATTTCAGAAAAAAAAGTGCCATCTAAATGGAAGAGGCACAGATGATTTGGGATTTCCCAAATGAACTGGAAGGAAATAGGTTTTAGGTGAAAGAAATGGCACCCCAAAGGCCCAAGATGAGACAAAATGGGGTGAGCATGGAACACTTCTGCATTGTGTGAAGTTTATGCATGAGTGTGGGGTTGGAAAGATGCAGGGAAAGGCATAAAGCTGGAATTATTTAAAGGGGGCTACTCGTGAAAGGCGTTTTTGGAATTTTGTCCCAAGAAGATGGGGAGTTAAGGCTGGGAATGTAGCTCCGTTGGTAGAGTCTTTGTTGAGCATAAAGCCTTGGATTCAATCCTCAGCTGTACATGAGCTGGGTGGGGTGGTGTGTACCTGTAATCCCAGCACCAGGAAAGTAGAGGTTATCCTTGGCTGTAAAGCAAGTTCAAAGCCAATCTGAGCTACTTGAGAACTCTGTTCAAGAAGAAAGAAAGAAAGAAAGAAAGAGAGAAAGGAGAGAAAAAGAAAGAGAGAAAGAAAGAAAGAGAGAGAGAGAGAGAGAAAGAAAGAAAGAAAGAAAGAAAGAAAGAAAGAAAGAGGGAGGGAGGGAGAGAGAGAGAGAGAAAGAAAGAAAGAAAGAAAGAAAGAAAGAAAGAAAGAGAGAAAGAAAGAAAGAGGGAGGGAGGGAGAGAGAGAGAGAGAAAGAAAGAAAGAAAGAAAGGGAGAAAGAAAGAAAAGAAAGGAAGGAGAGAAAAGAGAGAAAAAGAAAGAAAGAGAGAGAGAAAGAAAGAGGGAGGGAGGGAGGAAAAGAGGGAGGGAGGGAGAGAGAGAGAGAGAGAGAGAGAGAGAGAGAGAGAGAGAGAGAGAGAGAGAAAGGGAGAAAGAAAGAAACCAGAACATAAGTCTAGCTACCCAGGCTTAGACTTTTACATTGGTTGTCTGTTTACCTCAGGCAAGCAGGAGTACCAGGATACTGATGTCAGTATTGTGTAGATTGACCCCAACTCTGTCATGATTTCAGGCCTGCAAAGTCACCTAATCTATTGGGAAGCTAGTCCATGATGAACTTGAAAGGAAAAAGATATGCTGAGAAGAAAATACCTTCCAGTCTGGCTACCCTGTGGGGGTGACATCCCAGACGGGCCACCCTGTGAGAGTGACTAGGTTGCTCTGTGCATACACCATGCTCACGTTGCTGTTTAGAAGTTATATGACACTAGCCAGGTGCCTATCATGTGACATTTCCATAGGAGTCATCACCACTCGAGTCTTGTAGATGGGTGGGTTCTTCTTCCTTCACCCACAATGCCTTATCTGCTCAGTAGAGCTGAGATGTCTGCAGCTTACTGGGCAGGAAATCTCATTGAAGTTGGGTGCAGGGTGTACTTCCTAGCCAGAGAAATGATGCTTTCTTACTCAGAAGTTCACAAATCCTATAGTGGGCACACAGTTCCAGGAGTAACCATGTCTGCCAGCCTTTCAGCACAGCACCAAGTGTCTGGAGACATGTTGCCTTTTGTTGGTTTGACAAGGTGGCTTGCTCGACAAGCACTGATCTGACACCAAGGTGCCAATCAGACCGGGCTGTTGGTAAAGACATTTTTCCTGCTTTCTTCATCCTCCTTTGATCAAGCAAGCTCTTAAGCCTCTTCCTATGGGCTCATTCTCAGGGAGTTCATCTTCATGATCTAATACCTCCCGAGGCCCTACTCCTAGATGTTGTCACATTGGCGGTTTTGATGTGTGCATTTGGGGCTGGTGGCCACACATACTCAGTCCATTCTCTCTATTGACTTGGTTATCTATACGACTTGCATTTTTGTCCCCTTCATAAGGGACCAAGAGGGTCACTTCTGATGGCCAAGACCTGTGCTGGCAGACCAGCCATCCCTATCACAGAACATAGGGTGTTGTGTTCCAGTGGAACTCAGGATCAATGTATTCCTTATTTTAACTCAGAATGGCTTTATCATGAATTGTATAACAAATTTTGAGCTGAAGCCTGTCTTTCCTAGACACACCTACAAAAAGCACCAGTCAGGCCTTTTCGGCTTGAAGGAGTGGGGGAGGGGCTCTTGAACTGGATTGGTTTCATAGCTTACCTTCAAGTCACTACAGAATTAGAAGCAAAGTGGATCACAGTACAACTTGTGTAGTAAAACCAAGTTAAACCAAAAGCCTAATAACCTATTTTTTTTCTACCGAATTTCAATAATGACTTAGTAAAACAAAGATATGTCAACAAATTACAAGAATTTTACAGTTTGTGAACCACTCTTCTTGTGGCTAACCAGGGACACATTAAAATATATGCAATAGTTAGTGTTTTGGTGGTTTTTTTTTTTTAAAGAAATTGGCAATAGAAATTGGTTTGAATTTCTATAGATGGCAGTTTATAAATTGCCAAGTGTCAACTGTTTTTTGCAGATGATCTGAAGAACAAGCTGGACTATCATCTGGAAATTTTTCGTGGAAAAATTAAATTAGTAAGAACCAAAAAGAGAGAGGGTCTCATCAGATCGAGGATGATTGGCGCCTCCCGTGCTTCAGGTAGGGCTGCTCTTTTAGGCTGGGAACCAGTGTGCTAATTACTTTTGTCGTTGCTGACACTAAGCAGGAAATGGGTTTGTGTGGCTTACTGTATGAGGGCACACAGCTTATCTTTGCAAGCATGGTAGGAGCGGAAGATGATTGGGCACGTTGTGTCTGCAGTCAGGAAGCAAAGGATGAACAGGAAGTGGGACGGGCTATAAAGCCTCAGGGAGCAACCCCAGTGCCTCACTTTCCCCAGCAAGGCCACACCTCCTAAAGTTCCATAACTTTCCCATACTGCACCACCAACGGGGCCCAGGTGTTCAAACACAAAAAAACATGAAGAAAGATTTCACATTCAAGCTACCAACTACCAATGACACGGGGACTCTTCCTTCCTGCATAGAAACAGTCTTGGAGATCTCCACATCACGGCAGGCTTAAATCTTTGATCTTCCATTCCCTCCAAAATATTCTTATCCAAAATGTCATTTCATATGGAAGGCAACCAACCTTTTACAAGGGCCATAGCATCAGTCTCATCACCAACTGAGTGTCTCTAAGGAGACTCCAAAATGGAGTTTGATATGGATTTTAAAAGATATCAAGATAGGCTCCATGGAAGATCCTCCAAGAAAGCTTTATTAGTGAAGCTATAGCGTCAGCCCATCGACAGCACCAGGACTCCAACAGTTGACAGACAGCCTTCCATTCTGGAAAACATAGGGAGCCTCTTGGGGCAGCAAACACACGGGACCCACCAACTCAGCCCAATAGAACCCACACCCATGCACCAGCCACAGCCCCACAGTTAGAAATTTGGTATTTGTGAGGGTTTATCACTCTGCTCTCTGAAAGGACACGGTTAGCTGGTTGTCCCTTCTCCCTTCTTCCTGCCACCCTGTCCCTAACAGAATGTATTGTGCCTGTCTGTGAGCCAAATAAGCCCCCCCTCATCACGAAGGAACAAAGAAGGAAAGAAATTTTGCTTGAGGTGAATTTGAGTTAAAAGACAACTATATTTCAAAGCTTCTAAGAATTTAAACAACCATGATCATTTTCTCTGTCTCACTGTTCTCTGTCGTTTCCTGTCTCTCCTTGCTCACCCTCAAGGGCTCTTCTGCCGCTTTTCTTCAGACACATCTTATGTTCCTATCCCAAATGGCACCCTCTGAGATTTCTAGGTTCTTGTGTCTTGAAACAAAGAGTTAGAGGTCAAGCGTGGGCGTCATTTCTCAGGTGCCATCACTGCTACTTGGTTTGAGGCAGGGCCTCTTACCAACCGACCTGGAACTCATCAAGTAGGTGAGGCTGGCTCACTACCATACCTCAGGGATTACTTGTTTCCAGCTCCCCAGAGCTAGCCCTGTAAGAACAGGTTACCAAGCCCAGATAGTTGTTGGTTTTTAATTATGGGTGATAGGGATTGAACTTACTGGCTTCATGCTTGTAAAGCGAGCGTTCAATGACCGAGCCACCTCTTGAAATGGTCATTGAAAACCAAAGCTCTTCTCAGTTCTACCGACTACTGCTCTAGAGTTTTCTCCAAGCTACTATCTAACCTGCAGCTCTCAAGTCTCCTCTGAATGTCCACCATACATGGAGCCTCACCGTTTGGACATAATAAAACATGTATTCCCCATTTCCCTTAATGCAACTAAGGAACAAAGTATGTAGGAAACGTTCAATCAATACTCATTGCATCTAGCTTGCATTTGGATTGAATACCTTCCCTCCGGGGGACTGTGCTGTCTAGTTTTGTCAACTTGACAAAAGCTGGAGTTATTTGAGAGAAGGGAGCCTCAATTGAGAAAATGCCCCCATGAGGGCTCTAAGGCAAGCCTATAGAACATTTTCTTAATTAGGGATTGATGTGAAAGAGCTTAGCCCCTTGTGAATGGCACCACCTCTAGGCTGATGGGTTCTATAAGAGATCAAGCTGGGCCAGCCATGAGAACAAGCCAGAAGCGGTACTCATGCATCCTGATTCCTGTCCTGTTTGAGCTCCTGTCCTGACTTCCTTCAATGATGGATGGTGTAGAAGTGTAAGCCGGATAAACCTTTTCCTCCTCAAGTTGCTTTTAGTTATGCTTTTCATCACAGCAACAGTGACTCTAAGACAAGGATCAATGTTAGTCTGCTCTTGCCTTCACAGGGGACATCCTGGTGTTCTTGGATAGCCACTGTGAGGTGAATAGAGTCTGGCTGGAGCCCCTGCTGCACGCCATTTCTAGGGACCACAAAATGGTGGTGTGCCCTATTGTCGATATCATCAATGAGTTAACCTTGGATTACGTAGCAGTACCTGTTGTAAGAGGAGCTTTTGACTGGAGTCTGAATTTCAGATGGGACAATGTTTTCTCATATGAGTTGGACGGCCCAGAAGGACCAAGTAAACCTGTCCGGTAAGATTCTCCTTGTTTGGGGGACTGTAGTAAAAAAAAAAATCAATATTTTCTTTTGTTACTTTCCCCCCTTTCTTTGCTCTTCCTCCTCCTCCCTCCTCCTCTCCCTGAGACAGGATCTCTCTACATAGCCCCGACTGTCCTGGAACACTCTACACCAGGCTGGCCTCAAACTCACAGAGATCTGTTTGCCTCTGTCTCTTGAGTGCTGGGATTAAAGGTGTGTGCCACTATGCCCATCTTGCCGTTTGTTTCCTAAAGTATTGAATGCCAGATATGGTAGATGCTAAGTTTGTTCAAATGTCATTCCACCTTGTGTTCTACCTCATCCAAAAAGCTACCATGGCTGGTAAATACTGCCTTGACTTCCAATGCCCACTGCATGTGGTATGTGTGTGTATGTGTTTGTTTGTGTGTGTGTGTGTTTGCATGAAGTATGCTCACATTTCTTTGTGTACATGTGGAGATCAATCTTGGGTGTCATTCCTCAGGAACTGTCTTCCTGGTTTTTGAGACAGAATCCCTTACTGACTTGGAATTCACCAAGTATGCTAGGACGGCTGGCCATCAGACTCCAGGAATCTGCCTGTTTCCATACCTTCAACACTGAGATTTCAAGTGCATGCCACCATGCCCAGATATTTTTTTAGATGGGTTCTGGGGATTAAATTTATGTCCTCATGATTGCAAAGCAGGCACTCCAACAACTAAGCCATCTACTTAGCCTAGAGCATCTATTTCTTAAGTTGCAGGAGGGAGTTTTCTGATGACCAAGGAGCAAACTGCCATGGTTAGAAGTGTGGATCTCTCTGTCAAATTCACACAGATAGTCTTTGCCCCATTGTTTCTAGGTGTAGCTTCCTAGGTTGAGAGGAACACGATACTCCTAGCTCATTTGTCTTGGGAACTGTATTTGTAAATGTGAACACAAGATGAGTACATCTTGCAGGTTAGGTCTAATGTTGCTTGGAAACTCTGATGTGATGTACACCCCTTCTCTCACTACTAACCCCTTTGCTCCTCAGACCAGGTAGCTGGATTTCCTAACCCTATAGAGCTGTGTGGTCATACAATCAGGACCTGCCCACACTTCCTCACCTGTAAGTTCTAGAGGACAATACTCTCACAGGGTGACAAGAACTGAATGTCTATACAGTTAGCCACTTTGTGTGACCTTGTGACCTTTTCAAAGTCCAGTTTCAATCTTCGTGCCTTTGTGTCTGATTCACTGACTGCCATCTTTCCTTTACACACACCCATCCCCTGGCCCCTCCCACCTTGCTGTGGCCCCTCCCCTTATGCACTGCTCTGCAGGTGCTTCACCTTGAAGTGCCCAGAGACCAGAGCCCTTGATCCTCTTTCTACTGTAAGTGTCCATGATTTTCACCTAAGAATGATACCCTAGGCTCAAATATGTAAACACAAAGAGTGTTTTATTCTGCAGAAGTGCAGCATGCTGGGGTCTCCTGTTACAAAGGTAGAGAGACAACCAAGTGAGCTCGCAGGCTCCATTTCAGGCACATTGGAATTCTGTGGCAGATGAGCTTCGTCTTTATCTCTAGGCGTTCCAGAACTTGAAGGAGCTTGAAGACTGGAACCTGGGTTTTTTTCTGTTAATAATTGACTTGGTTGGACTTGCCCAATTCTTAGGCCTAGTTCCCTTATCTGCCGATTTGAAGACTGTCATGGAATCTGCCTAGCCCTCTCACTACCTCTGCCTACCTCACACTGACCGTTAATACATGACTCATGCAATCGTTAATATTGATTTTTAACTTGAATCAGGGCCTACAACTTAGACGCAGGATTGGGAGCTTGTCATCAGTGACCCCTGTCATCAGTGTCCCTCTGTCATCAATGTTCCTCTGTTGTCAGTATCCCTCTGATGCCAGTGTCCCTCTGTCATCAATGTTCCTCTGTCGTCAATGTCCCTCTGTCATCAGTGTCCATCTGTCATCAATGTTCCTCTGTTGTCAGTGTCCCTCTGATGCCAGTGTCCCTCTGTCGCCAGTGTCCCTCTGTCATCAGTGTCCATCTGTCAGTAGGGTCCATTTCTGTCTCCAGTGGAACATTCAGATCTTTTGTGTCATTCACATGCCCGAGACTCTTCCCCCCTCCACATTCCCAGAACACTGTACACAGCTCTCACAATTGCTTTTTAAATACTTTTATTTGTGAGGACAGGAAGCTGACTCGGGAAGAGAAAGTACCATCCAATGAGCCTGACAATTATCCAAATTACCCAAATTAGATTCCTGTGACCCACATGGTGGAAGAACTGACCCCTAGGAGCTGTTCTCTGGCTCTTACACACACACTACAGCACACAAGCACCTGCACACATACTCTGGGAGCTGTTCTCTGGCTCTCACACACACATGCTACAGCACACAAGCACCTGCACACATACTCTGCTTTGAATCTGTGAAGCTTTAAAAACTCCTTTCTCTGTTACACTAAATATATACATACAAATTAAATTAATGTTAAATACATTTACTATGAACAGGCTCTAGAGTCAGCAAAGAGACAACCCTCTGAATATGCCCATGAAGGAGGTTCTCCCTGTTAACTGGGGGTACAAAGCTCCTCTGTGGGTGTGGTTGGTACCATCCCAGGGACTGGGGTCCTGGACTGAGCAGAAAGCCAGGTGAGCACAAGCATCTCCTCTAATCATAAAGGTGCAACGTGAACATAGCCTCATGCTCCCGTCACGTGACTCCTCCTCCTGGACCTGTGAGATGAAACAACACTTCCTGGATGGCTTTTGGTGGGCGTTTTGTCAAGGCAATGAGAGAAGCAACTAATACAAGTCCCAAACTCATATCTCCATCCACAATCTCGAAAACCTCCAGGCTCACACATCCAACTGCACCTGCTGCCTGCTTGGCCTTCCCACTGAGATACTGAACACTCACCTCACATTGGCCCGAATGTTAAGTTTCCTGTGTAACCAGGACTTCCCATCTCTGTGGACAGCAACCCCACCTGCCATGTAGAGATCCTGGGTATCAATCTAGATTCCTGTCATCTTCCCTATTCTTGTCCTACGCATCAGCAAATCCTTTAGGTACACCTTCAAGCAAACCGCTACCTGGACATCTTGTTTATGCTCATCAGATTACTAGCTTGGCCAGGGTACAATCCTCATTCATTGGGTCTGTCAGTGGTGACTCAAGCCTTTAATACCAGCCCTTGGGAGCCAGAGACAAGTGGATCTCTGAGTTTGAGGTCAACCTGATCTACAGGTGATTTCCAGGATAGTTGGGCTGCACAGAGAAACCATGTCTTGAAAGGCTAAAATAGAACAAAGAAAAACAAACCCAATTCATCATTTTCCTCCAAAATTATTGTGGTGACTTCTAACTGGCAGCACTTAGGAGTCAGAGGTAGGCAGATCTCTGTAAGGTCCAGGCAAGTCCAGTGAGGCCTTGTTTCAGTGAAACAGCAGTCTCTGCTTGCAGACTGTGGATTCGTGAATATAGCGTGACTAGCTCCTTGAGGCTTCCTCTGCCTTGATCTTCTCACCACAATAAACTCTATCCTTCAAAATGAACCTCTTCTCCCTGTAGGGAGTGAGTGAAAGTCTTGAGTGAGTGTGCACTGCTGACATGGAACATCTGTCTCAAAGACTCAAAAGCCTCGGCCATGGAAGTGGTAACTCTACTGCCACCCCAATAAGTCTTAGAAGGATGACAAAGTCCCTCCTCAAGTCCAAATGTGAATATTGACTGTGTGCAGGAAATGTCTATCATAGCCCCCACCCCATGTTTAAGGCCTGAAGAGACTTCCCTACAAAGACCGCTCTGGGTGAGATTAGCCAAGCCTGCCTGTTTTTCAGCTGTCGACTAACCCTGTCTCTCTGTCCAACTGTATACAACAAGCATACTGAGCTGCCAGAGTGCCATGACTACTCCATCAGAGCTACCCAATCCCAGCTTTTCTGTGTCAATGCATCTGTGTGTCTGTCTGTCTTTTCTTCATTGTCTCATTGACCCTATTCAGGTTTCCAGGACCCAGGTCGTGCAAGGATGCAGAAACCTTTCTTACACTGCTTCTGTCACAGCAACAAGTAACTAACCTGAGTAACCCCATCTTTTATCACAGGAAAAAAGTCAAAACAAATTTGATGTAAATGTATGACCCAAAAATTCTAATGCTACTAGTTGAGGGTGTACTTTATGACATTCAGCTACTCAAAGATTTTGTGACTACGACTCTGAAAAGCACAGGCCATAAAAGCAAAGCTTGAGCGTGGGATTGCATCAAACTAAAAGCTCCTGCAAAGCAAAGCAAAGCAAAGCAAAGCAGTCAATGAAGCGAAGACAAGGCCCACATGTCTGATAAGGAATTAATATCCAGAATATTAAGGCACCCAACAAACAGCAAGAGAAAGTTCAATTAAAAAAAAAATAGTCAGAAGACATGAATACACATCTTTCAAGAGAAAATCTATATGGCTAGTGGTATGAGAAAAATGTCTAAGCACCCCTCCCCTCATCAAAGGATGCAAACCCAAATCCCTTTAGATGCTAGCTTACTCTACTAGGTGTTCTGTGGACAAGAGTGTAAATAGATACTAGAAAATAGTGTCAGGGTTCTTCAAAAATTAAAAGTAGAATAACCTGGCAGACTTCATGCTGCAGAGCTGCAGTAGGCAAGTGGCCCCTGGGGTCGGCTGTGGCTACAATGGGTGAGCTCTGGAGATGCACAGCCCAGAGACTTCGTCCCAGGACTGCTTCTTGCTACTAATGTGCTTCCTCGTGTTTGCCATTGCCACACTCCTCAGTTATTTGACTTGGTGTGAGTGGACAGTGAGAGACCCTCACTGCCTATAGCTTGCTCTGGTTACTTCTTGGGTGATAGCCCACCCTATTGGACATATTTCCTGCAGATCAATATGAAGATGATCTCCCCTGAATTAATGCTGTTTAGATGAATTCATGACTTTATAGAATTCCTGATTTGATTCAAATAATTTTAGGAGGAAAGTCTAAGGAGATGGTTTTAGTTGTTTTGCCAGAAGGCTGTAATTAAATTAGAATCGAGAATAGAATGTGCTCTCTCCTCACAGAATAGCAAGTAAAGGCTGCATAATAAGGAATATAATGAGCCTTCACAAATGCACTGAGAAGAGAAATAGGCTTGGGACAGATTTGTGATCAAGCTATGACAAAGCAAGGCTATGTGAAACTGTTGCTTTGAACTTATAATGAGCTTATAGAATGAAACACTGCTTTGAACTTGCTATCAGCATCCTTCTGTAACTCCTCTTTTGTGTAACATTTTATCTATGAGGTAATTTTTTTCTTACATAGAAAACTTTTTTGCCTAAAAGGCTATAAAGAGCTGAAAGCAATAGTAAAGGTTCAGTGTAGCCCTTTTTGCTTCATCCATTGTGCATATGTCTGTGTGTGCATCTGACTTTCTTTTTTTCTTTTTCTTCTTCTCTGGCTCAGGAAGAATTAATAAACTCCGAGCCTCTTGCCTGACCAGCAAGAGACCCCTGAGTAAAAGAGTAAAGAGACCAAAGAGCTAAATTTCTTTTCTTAATTCCTGCCACTATCAGCAGGAATCAATTGCAAGAATCCATCAGCTTTTGACTTCAGGAGAGCAAAAGAGAGTTAATTGCTTCTGGCCCTGGAATAGCTAGTGAGAGAGGATTAAATTGCCAGAAGCTATCAGCTTCTGGCTCTCAGAATAGTAAGAGAGAGTTAAGGGCCAGAGGTCATCAGCCTTTTTCACAGCCGAAGCTGTGTCCCACCTCAGTACCTGACCCTGCCTGTGCAGCACACCCCCCCAACCCCCAGCAAGAACCCCTGATCAGCAATCCTGTCACTGACAACATGCCTAAAGGGAATGAAATCAGGATGTTGAAGAGACATATGTATGTGCGTTCTTACTCTATCCCTAAAACCAGCCATGAATCAGCCTGTTTATTACAGTTGATTGGATAATGAAAATGCAGTAGTGCATGAATACAGGAGAATAATGTCCAGCAAATAAAAGATGACATCTCTCCATTCGTAAACAACATAAATGAACCTAGAGGCCATTACGGTAACTGAAACGAACCAGTCACAGACAGACAGGCACCACACCATCTCACACAAGTGGAATTGAAGAGTTGGTCTCCTGGAAGTACAGAGTGAAACGATGTCTACAAGAAGCACAGAGGTCAGAGAGGGCACCAGATCCCCTGGAGCCCAAGTCACAGGTGCTTGTGAGCTGCCTGATCTGGGTGCAGAGGATCAGTCAGGTCCTCTGCAAGAGCAGTATTCTTGACTGATGAGCCAACAGTAGCATTCCATATGTTTTTAGGAAAAGCAGAGATCACTATTTCTCTCAAATTTATTCACTATTTTTAACTCCTTTCTAGGTCACCTGCAATGTCAGGAGGAATTTTTGCTATAAATAGACATTACTTTAACGAACTCGGACAGTACGACAAGAACATGGATCTTTGGGGAGGAGAAAACGTGGAACTTTCGCTAAGAGTAAGTCAGACTTCCTCGTTTCCCTCATGTAGTTACGTTTGCACACATGGAGAGGTGACGGTTCGTTTTGTTGTGGAGAATGGAACTGGGTTTGTGCCTACTGGGCAGAGCCCTTTCCTGTGCAAGTGTGCAATCTGACTTTCATATGATTACATGTTTTCTCCATGAACATGCAGGACAGTCTGGTGACACACAGAAGGGTGTGCAACAGATGGCAGGACTCCAGAAAACACTCGATAGGACCATATGCATGGTGCAGAAAACTAATAAGATATTTTAAATCTATGTGGGTCCTCTTCTGATTGTCTTGATAGTTATATTCCCCCCTCTTCTTGTTTTGTATTTCATTTTCTCTTCTTCTTCTTCTTCTTCTTCTTCTTCTTCTTCTTCTTCTTCTTCTTCTTCTTCTTCTTCTTCTTCTTCTTCTTCT